ACACACACACACACACACACACACACACACACACACACACACACACACACACACACACACACACACACACACACACACACACACACACACACACACACACACACACACACACACACACACACACACACACACACACACACACACACACCTCGTATACACACATACACAGAGAGCAACAGAAACAGAATGAAAAGTTCAGTCAACTTCTCATTTGTGTTATCTCCTTGATGGTAGATACTTTGTTCACCATTGTACCTCCCACTTTATGAAGTGGAGGATGTAAAAAAACTTCAGGTGAGGAAGACGTCTTTTTACTGAATGGATACATGTGCTGGTGAGTTATATGAAATAGCAAGTTGAGCAAGCCGTGGGGAACAGACCAATAAACAGTGGGGCTCAATGACTTCTGCTTCACTTCCTGCCTCCAGGCTCCTGGGTTGCATTCCTGTCTGTGTTGTAACCTGAAATAAACACTTTCCTCCATGAGTTGCTTTTGGTTATAGTATTTACCCAGCAACAGAGAAATAAATGAGGCAAGTGCTACTTTTGGACTCAGATGGAATATTTTATCCATCTTTTCTTCCTCTATTACTATCTATAGTATTTTATAATTTTCCTCCCCATTCATTAACTCTTCATTTGTATTGTGAGCTTTAATCTCACTGTGTAGTTCTGGCTGGCCTGCAACTCTCTGTGTGGACCAGTTTGGTCTTTCGCTCACGAGCTCTGCTTACTTCTCTCAAGTGATGGAATTGCAGGCATGTGCTACCAAGCCTGGCTCCACTGACATTTGTGACACATGAATATAGTAGTAGGCTCTCTGCAGTATCTTCTGTGGATTAGATATACTCCTTCTTACTACTAATTTCTCTTTGATAATAAATACTAGCTTCCCTGGTACAGAAAGAGCTTCCTTTTTTCTTTGTTTTCCAGCCATGTGGTTCTTCATGGAGACCAGGTGGCAATATGAGTAGCAATGTCAATGGAACCATTGCTATATTTAATTCTGTAAGCATTCTTTCTTGAGAATTAAGAATTAAAGCAGCAGAATTAAGAATTCCCACAGTTTGGGAAGGGAAACAGATTCTCTCTCTCTCTCTCTCTCTCTCTCCCCTCTCTCTCCTCTCTCTCTCTCCTCTCTCTCCCGAGCCCCTCTCTCTTGCTAGATGGGGTTTCTCTGTGTAGCTTTGTCTGTCCTGGAACTTGGTCTGTAGACCAGGCTAGCTTCAGATATCTGCCTGCCTCTGCCACCCGAATGCGGGTATTAAAGGTGTGTGCCACCACCGCTCAGCCAGATCCTTCATTCTTGCCTCATGAAGGGTAATAGTGAGGTGAACCACTGTCATTTTTAGTATTTTTTCCTTTTTTTTTTTTTCCTCCTAGACAGGGTTTTTCTGTGTAGCCCTGGCTGTCCTGGAATTCTTTCTGTAGATCAGTCTGGCCTCAAACTCACAGAGATCCACCTGCCTTTGCCTCCGGAGTGCTGGGATTAAAGGCATGGGTCACCCCCCAGCTTTTTTTTTTTTTTTTTTTTTTTTTTTTTTCATTTCTAATATTTTGCTCTCAGGATCCATGGATCCTGACAGTAAGAGAAGCAATACCATATTGCTGGTTCAGAGTGTACTGTTTCCTGGAAAGTATCAACACCATACAGAAACTGTTCAACACCATGAGTTTTCAAAACACCATTTGACTAGTGTGTGTGTGTGTGTGTGTGTGTGTGTGTGTGTGTGTGTGTGTGAGAGAGAGAGAGAGAGAGAGAGAGACTTCATTCAGAGTTATAGCAAGCATTGAGAAAGCCAACCATTTCCTCATTTCTTAAATTATAAAGTGAGTGCTCTGGTTTTGAAGTAATGATGTTTGGAATACATTGTAGTGAATAAGGTGTTTTGTAAATTTATGGATAGTGATTGTAGTAGTGTTTTGAAAAAAAAAAAAAAAGGCCCCCAAAGGGAGTGGCACTAATGGGAGGTATGGCCTTGTTGGAGTAGGTGTGGCCTTGTTGGAGGAAGTGTGTCACTCTGAGGGTGGGCTTTGAGGTCTTCTATGCTCAAGCTGCAGCTAGTGAGACAGACCACTTTCTGTTGCCCTGCACAAGATGTAGGACTCTCAGATGTACTTCTCCAGCACCATGTCTGCCTGCATGGTGCCATGTCCTACCATGACGATGATGGACCGAACCGCTGAAAATATAAGCTGCCACCTCAATTAAATGTTTCCTTTACAAGAGTTACTTACTGTGGTTGTGGTGTCTCTTCATAGCGATAGAAACCCTGACTAAGACTGATTTCATCCGAAACATTATAGTTAGGGAAGGAAAAATTATACCTGTGTGTCTTAGTAAGAAAAAGGCACTGTCTATTTCATGGTAGAAATGCTTCAGCATAATTATGTTGCCACCGGGTAGTTGGCTGATTTACTCTTCCCCTCCCCTCCTTCGTCTTCCCCTCTTCTCTTCCATCTTCCTTCCCCTTCTTCCTTTGTTATAAGCATTTTGTCATGTTAAGGATAGTCATTCATTTTATAATAAATATTGGAAGGAAAATAAGACTAATTTATATTTCAAGGAAAGTGCATTGCATGAACATTTTTTAGGCAAGAAAATTTAATTTTATGTAATATTAAAATGTATATGTAACTCAGTAAGGAGAGGGCATATTGATTAGTAAATGTTCTTATTCAGATGATTTTATTCTTCTGAATTGTTTTAGAGTAAGTTCTCTCGCTAAAAACTAGCAGATTTTTCTGGTTGGTTTTGAATGGTTTATTTACAGCTTACTTTTTGCAGTGGCAAAATTATACAATTTTTAATCTTGTTTAAGAGAGCAGTTAAAAATATATCCGGTAAGATTGTCAATCAGGGCTGCTGCAGAAGGTCATGTTGATGTGTCCATGATCCTTGCTGCTGCCAAAGGCCATGTTGATGTCGTGGTCCATGTTACTGCTGAGAGGCTGCATTGATGTCCATGATCCACCTATGAACCACCATGAACCAAGCTGCTGTTGGCAGGGAGACATCCTTTGGAGTGCTATCGATAACTGCAGATTCATAACTGAATGAATGAGAGACATTGAAGGCTGCTGGGACAACCTCTTTCCAACTCCCTGAAGAAAAAGAAAGTCCAGATATGAAGTTATTGAAGAGAGTCCTAAAACACTGTGATAAAGATGCTGAAGTGTAGCTCTTCACAGTTGATGGCTTCTGGCAGGGAGTGGGCTCAATTTTTTTTATAGGGCTGGCCACTAGGAGTTAGACCATGCTCTAATGACTATATGGTCAACCCAATATGGACTTGGTGTATTTTTTATTTTCTTCTCTTTTTTTGTGGGGGTGGTGGTGTGCAAGGGTGGGAGGGTAGATCTGGAAGGAATGGGATTCTAATGTGATTGGTGTGAATTGTACAAAATTCCCAGATAATTAACAAAAATACTATGTTGGGGAAAATTGTAATGAGTCATCTTTCCAAACCCAGAGTCATCCCTAGCAGTGTCATTTCCTCTGCCATGTGGCTCAGAGCTTGTGTGTTTTTTCTGTTTAGAATAAGTATTGCTTTCATATTGCTTTTGGTCTTTGGTTGGGTATTTTAGTTTTACTTATGAAAATCTAACTTGTAGCGATACTTAAGATAGTATTTAAATATACCTTGATAAATTTCTTAACTTTATCAATATTTCCTCCAAATTAAAGCTTTAAATATCAGCAATATTCTGAGATGAATGAAGTTGATTTATTATTGACTGGGAACTTTCTCCCCATCTCCTCTTCACTCCTGTCTTCTTTCCTGTCCCCTATGAGCTCCAGCCTTTGAATACTTGAAAAATGGATGAGTGATGTCATATTGTTGTGTATTCATTGCTTCTTCCTTGAATTCCACTGCATATTGTAGAGCAGACTGATCTTCCTTACTTCTGCATGTCTAATGCCCCAAATTAATACACAGTAGGAATTCAGTTCATTAGTTGTGTGACTGAATGAACCCTAAAACATGCCTTTCAAATGCTTCTTTTATTTACTTTTTTGTTGTTAGAGACAGAGTCTCACTATTTAGTCCTGGTTAGCCTAGAACTCACTTTGCGTACTGAGCTGGCCTCTGTCTGCCTGTCTCCTGAGTGCTGGGATTAAAGGCATGTGCAACTATGCCCAGCTCACAAATGCTTCTTTAAAATTTTTTCCTTATTGTAAATTTTTTATATAGTGAAATATTTGGAGTATAAAATATAATAAATGGGGAGAAATTATAAGAGGACATGAAAAAATTTTTGCATGAATATTTTCAAACTAAATTTGATATCTGTTTTTTTTTAATTTAAGAAATGGTAAATAAAAATAAGCTTTATGCAGTATTTGAAATTCAACTTTTTATTCTTTTGGCATAGTATTTGGAATTACACTTGACCATGTAACATTGATTGGTCCCGTTAATTTGACTTGTGTCACAACTACACTAAAATAGTTTGAGGGTATAATATAAAAATACTCATATTTTTATAATGAATATCAGCCATCAGGATTTTAGTAGCATTTTTATTGTTTATTTAAAATGTCAATTTGAAAATTCTAAATGCTAAAGAGTATTTCTAGGTGAAAATGATATATTCTTGGTTCAGAAGTTATTACTTAAGCAAAATATCTTACTATAAAATGCCTGACTGATCAGAAACACGGAAAGTAAGTATATGTAATTCCTCTAAACAATGCTAGTATAGATGATTTAATTGTTGGATAGTAGGGACATATAAACCCTGATATTGCTTAGGAGATATGGGGGAAGATAAGTGTCTTGATAAGGTAGAAATAAATTTGAACTTAAAATATCATGAGCTTTAATTTGGCAACTTATTTAGAAACAGTATCAGTACTTGGCTGGAGAATAAATTTCTGTTCAATGTTTCATGTCTTTTTGGCTTTCTTACTAATTGTAATGTCTCTGTTACTGTTTGCTTAGCTTTTGTGCCTATGTGACTTGAAGGGTGTGTTTTCATCCCACATTTTTCTTCAGGCATCCACAAGGACAAAGATAAGCTTCCCAGCTTCTCTGTTGTCCTTGAGACTTTGAGGCGGACCTTGACAGATTACCAGAACAAGCTGGAAGATGCGTCTAATGAGGTAACACGTGGACTGTTTGGCTGCACACACGGCCTTCAGGCAGTACCAGTATGCAGCCTTTGCTTGTTACAAAGGTCAAAAAGATTGGGGATGTTGAATTGACAGCTTCACAGATACAGAAATAATAAACCACTTGTCACTGTTCTTTCTTCAAGTGTGGCCTAAAGTAGTATTTCACTCCCACAGTGAAAGGACCCTGTCACTTGTGGCCTGTGTGACATATCTGTGCAAATAATTTAAGTGAAATGTGTTCTGTTTAAATGTCAGTATGTTTATGATCTGGGGGTAGCTAGTAGAAATTTAGGTTGCATCAAGAGTTTAAGGGTTTGTAAACCACAGAAATCTTAATAAAAAAAGGAAATTAATCTTTGTGCTCTAAAGGGAGTTAAGTGTTGTTAGAAGTTTTTAAAAACAAGTGTCTGTTTGATGTAGACTGGAATCTTTTAATTTGCAGATTAAACAGGCTCATGCTTCTGTTTGTCATCTCATTTGTATTGTTTAATGTGTGAATTAATAATTTTCTTGGGTATTAAAATATTTTATGAATTCATGCTTTAAAAATTGAAGAGTTTATCTCGTTATATCTTGTCAAATTAGTATATGTAATAATTACAATAGTTAGAAAAACAACAGATTTTTGTGCAGCCATAGACAAGTCACACGGCTTAGAGTTTATCTCTTTGTTTTATGTAATTCAAAACCTGCAAATTCACTTTGTGTACTGTAATGGTAGAGGTTTATTTTATATGTTCAGGGTAGACAAAGAAGGGCAAGTCTGTTCTTTAAACACATTCTGTAATTGTTCAGAAGCAAAAGTGACCATTAAAATAATTAAATTATTTGGAGAGCAGACATTGCTAAGTCTTTTCCTAGAGAACCAAGACAACCTGGATTGTTTGTAGTTTTGAAGTTCTTCAGAGGCCTAGGCCTGGAAGCTGCCGAGTAACTAGGAACATATTACCCACAGAGAATTGTTATTTGGGAGGATGAATGTCACATGATCCTCAGCACAGTTGAAAAGTCGACTCAGCAGGCTTTGGCTTAGTAATGTGCTTTGTTGTGAACCAGTGCCAGAGACAGCAGTGGGGAGACCAAGGGGGTGGCCGCAAAGAAAGCAAAAAGAACAGCCTGACAGAAAGAAGAATGAACTGTCAAAGACAATAAATCACAGGCAGTGCAGGACCAACTGATGACCTGCCACAGCCTCCCCAGTAGGACTGCGTGTGATGGCCCGAAGCTGTCATATGAAGTGAGCGACCAGTGAATACCCTCTTGATGTAAAGTAAAACAGTCTCCTGCTTGCTCTCTCTTCTTTCCTTATAGATGGCACTGCTCCTGGCATTTGGTCCAGTAGGATTTTGAGAATAAAGTTATGTTTACAGTAAGAATGAAATCCTTTATATAGTGAGCACAATAAGACCATCCCTGGCGTTTTAAGGCTGAATGCTTTCTTTTCAGCCAGGTGAGCCTGTGACAGAAACTGCATAGCCTTTAACCAAAAGAAGTGTTGTGCCTAAGACTCAATCACTGTTGAAATATTTATGCCTAAATAATTGCATAGCAAGTATTTAAAAGTTAGCTTTTGGGTTACTCCTTCTTGAAGAAATGTCAAAAAGCTATTTTTCTTTCATCAGCTAAGCAACATAAATGATGCCAAGGAAAAGACAAGCAATGAACTGGATTCTACAAAACAAAAGATTGAGTCTCACGTTAAAAGAATAAAGGTATTGCAATTTGAGTTAACTTTTTCCCTTTGTTAAGAGACAAATATATTATGAAGGAATTATTTTAGAGAGACCTGAAAATTAACCTTCCATTTTAAAAGTACTTTTGAGTATACATTAAAATTTTTTGTTGATCAAACTGTTTTGGTTAAAGGAACAATTCATTTCTCTGATGTAATATTACAGATCAAAATGCTTTGAGACTTAATGTCCCACTTTAGATAAGTATTAAACACATTTTGTATAAGCATATCTGTCTGTGGAGTCAGTTTTGCCATTCTTGGTTGGAGCCATTGTTTTTAGTACATCTTGTCTGGCTAATGGGCTGAGACCACAGTTGGCGAAGCTTCAAGCAAATAGTTGTTTTTATTTTCTGTGTTAGTTTCAGCTACAGTGCTACAAAGTGTGCTTTTTCTCAGCATTCATTGGGCTTCTTTAGTGTTGGTGTTGAAGCTGCGTGTAATGGAGGCGGTTCAATAGCATAGTTTAGTAGAAATTTACATCGCATTCTTGAGATTTCTATTAGTATTTGAAGTGTCATTGGAGAAAAAATGTCATATTAAATGTAAAGAGATTGTCTCCCATCCCATGTGACTTTAAGTGTTAGTAAAGATTTTTTTAATCACCTTTAAAAAACAATGGGTTAAAGGGAAAACTTTTAAATATCTTTTTTGGAGTAAGCAGTTTTAATAAAATGTATGTGCTTGAACATTACAACTTTTCTAATTTTTGAGTGAAAACATTCTACTTAGAAAACACTTTCAGTAAAATACCCTAAATGGTCGGCATCATAAGCAAATGGTAATTATTTTACCCTAAGGTTTTGAAGGTTTTCATCATGTTGCTGTTTGGTGCTCTTCACCTCCTGCCATTCCAATCATTTTTTATTTGGTGTCTCTGCCAGGAACTGCAGGATAAGCTGACTGAGGTCCACAAGGAGGTCAGTCACCTACGAACGAAGTGTGCAGACCGCGAGGCCCTGATAGGCACGCTCAAGGTGGAGCTACAGAATGTGCTCCACTGCTGGGAGAAGGAGAAGGCGCGGGCTGCCCAGTGTGAGAGTGAGCTGCAGAACCTGTCCCAGGCCTTTCACAAGGACTCCGAGGTATCGCCCCAGACACAAGGCACAGGAAGACCTTTCACTGACCTCAGCTGGGCATGTTACATGCATCAATGACTGGTGTTACTCCTATCCAATTTAATTTAAAAAATGGTCTGAGTGTGTCACACTTTGAAATGCTCCTCACAGTTGCAAAATCCCTTCCTCAGTTCTGCCTCCTTGTCCTAATTTGTGTGTGGGGAAAAAAAAAGGTAACCTAGTTCAACCCTTATGTCACTTGGACCATTGGCTTTCTTCCTCGGCTTGAATCTGTCATATCTCACTCTGCCATTTTCTGTTCTGTCTTGTCAAGGTTGGCTTACTTGCCAGTAACAACATCATTTTTTATTAGAGTAATTCTACAGCGTGATGGAAAGAATCTTTTTTGTAACCAAATAGGTTTGGACTTGAATCTTGTTTTTTTTCTGTTTACACAGAGCCTGGCTGTTAATTCCCTTAATTGTAAAACAGGAATAACAACACCAGACAGTCTTCTTATTCTTTATAATTATAATATACTAATGAAAACCGAGAAAAAGAAAAGTTTCACAAAATTAAAACTGCAAGTTAGATGCTCTGGATAGTTGTGTATCCGTTTATATTTATTAGTAACTTATTAAAATTATTTTGAGATTTATTTGTTTTTATTTTATGCCTATGGATGCTTTGCCTGCATGTATGTCTGTCCATCACATGGATGCCTGGTGCCCAGAGAGGCCAGAAGAGGATACTAGGGCCCTTGGAACTGGAGTTACAGACAGTTGTTAGCTACCATGTGGGTGCTGGGACTTGGATACTGATCCTCTACAAGAGCAGTCTGTGCTCTTAACTGCTGAACTGTCTCTCAAGTCCTGTTAATGATTAATTCTTAAAATATCATGATAAAAGTTTCATATTCTGTATCAGCCTGTTCTGCCTATAATTTTCTTTTACTTCTGGGATATAGAGCTCCTGTGGTTGATGGATTCGTTTATCTAAATTCCTGCATATTGAATTCATTATTTCAACAAATACAAACTCCAGTGCCAAGAGAGTAAAAAGGAAACATTCTTTCCACCCTTAGAGTCTGGGATTTCAATTGTGTCCACATGAAGGGCTTGGAGTTATTCTACACAGCAGATGATGGTGAAAATTAAGGAAACCAGAAGTCTGACTGCATTGTGAAGTCAGTGTCTGGAGTGCTAGGTTGGGTTCAACATGTGTAAACTGATTTTGGATCTTGTGATGATCTTTTCACACCAAATGGATGACTCCATCCCTGGTTTATCACAGCCCAAGCAGAAAGGACTTCGTGGTGACAAAATGAGTCATCCTCTTGGAGAAGCTTCTTTTAGCAGAGCTATGCTCTTAGTTAAAATGTGAAGGACAGTGATTTTAGTGCCTGAATATTACACTCCTATGATTGTACTGAATCAGATTTTTATACATTTCAAACCACTTGAAAGTGTAGAAGCCATCTTTAACTTTGTTTTTTTTTTTTTTTTTTTGGTTTTTTGAGACAGGGTTTTTCTGTGTAGCTTTGGAGCCTGGCACCCGCTCTGAAGACCAGGCTGGCCTCGAACTCACAAATATCCACCTGCCTCTGCCTCCTGAGTGCTGGGATTAAAGGCGTGTGCCACTAACGCCCGGCTCTTTAACTCTTTTTAAAGGAATAGTGCACAGTACATTTGTAGCAGCAGAGTTTACGTTTTCTTTTGTTTTTGTTTTTTTTGAGACCGGGTCTCTCTCCACAGAGCCCTGGCTGTCCTGGATTTCACCATGTAGACCTGCTGGCCTCAAAGTCACAGAGATCCTCCTGCCTCTGCCTCCCAAGTGCTGGGAGTTTTTAATTTCTTGATCCAATTTTTTTGGTGTAACTATATTTATTTATTTGCTTAATTGTTGTTTTTAAATTACTGTGTTTGAAAAAGTCAGCAGTATATGGATGAGTTACTATAATTTACTTTGAAATGTTCAGGAAAACAGTTGCTACAATTTCCAGTAACAAAACAAAGTCTTTAATACACTATATTTAGTTCTTTAGAAAAAAAACTACATTATTATTTCCATTTTTTCTCTCAATTTTTCTTCTTTCAAAATTTTTCCCTCTTTCTGGTATAGTAAGACATTTTGAGGAACTGATATTATCCACATAAAATGTTTATTTTGCATCTTCACAATTACTTCGTCTTCTGAGTTTCATGTTTTGAGATGAAGTTTCTATAAAGAGGGCAATTTGTCATCTTAGTTAACTAAGTTCTCCAAGTGTACTCAAAATGAGTCAGAGTTACACTGGATTCTAGAGCAGAGTAAATATCTTTAAGCCATTCAGCAGGGGATAGTTAATGATTGTAATGACAATATGTTTTAAAAGGGTTTTTCAAACATATTTATAATTGGACAGTTTTGAAAATGTGTCTTGGGCAACCTGTCCACTTTAAATTGCTCTGTTACTTTGTAATACTTAAACACCCACCGATGCCCAGTGTGCTGAATACAATATAAACCTCTAAGTGGGGAAAACAAATGAGCCCTTCTTCCATATCTTTCATATCTCTGTGTGCTTTGCCTAAGGGGGTCGGGATAGATTTCCTTTAAGTGGTGAGTTGAGTCAAATGTCTGGGGAAGAAGAAAGCTGCGTGATTGCGGACATGTAAAGTACAGATGCTGATACAGCGTGCCTTTCATTAGAATGGAACAACACTCTTATCTCGATGCTATTTTATGACTTAACATCTGTTTTTAAAATGTAAGTAGGAAATTAGAGAATTACTATATTGACTTCAAATTAAAGGTTCTTATAAAAATTAACCCAGGTACCTGTGATACAGATTTTAAAACTTAGACCTAAGCAGGTGCTTACCTCCCAGCAGTAGCATACTGTAGCACAGACTCTGTCTTCTGGCATCTAATTAGAGTTGTGTTTTCAATACCAGTCTAAGAAGTCTAAGCAATTTAAAGTGGACATTAGTATTTTATCTAATGCTCAGTTCTGAATGTGAGAAAAAAGGCCATCTAAATGATAATAGCTGGAACTTGAGTGTTTTCCTTCTAGATTAAAAAAATGCCTGACTACTTGTACTGTGTATTTGACTTCCTACAGTGTTTATATTTAGGAGTTAACGAGTCCTTTTTTTTTTTTCTTGCAGGAGAAGCTAACCTTCCTTCACACCTTGTATCAGCACTTGGTAGCAGGCTGTGTGCTGATAAAACAACCAGAAGGCATGCTGGACAAATTCTCATGGTCTGAGCTTTGTGCCGTCTTGCAGGAGAATGTTGATGCCCTCATCGCAGACCTCAACAGGGCTAATGAGAAGGTAACTGTCCTCAGGCACCAGATACCTCCATTAAATTCAGTGACATTTGTCCACATCACAGTATCATTAAGAGAGGCTGACATTCATCTTATTTCAAAAAGAATTTGGATGTTAATAATTCAGTACCATTAATTATGGCTTGTCTACAACTCAGTTTGATGCCATTGCTGTGGGCATGCAGATGTGACTGAAGTCTGTATGAAGTCTCTAAGCCCCACTTTCTGTGCAGGACATGCTAATACTACCAGCCAGTATTAGCCACAGGGACCTAATTAAGAGAAAATCAGTTAATCTTACTGATGAAGCAATGCAAAGAACTTAGTCATTTACATTAATAAACCAACTCTTTATGTTAGCATAAGATAGAAACAGGATGTAGTTATTTAAAAACATCATCTTAAAAGTCTTTGCTTAGGAAATATGAAATATTGTTTTAAAAGTACTTAGAAAAAATAAATTATATTTTGACTTGTTTCTTCAAATGTTACAAACTGTGTGAGAAAACACAGCCCATATTTTAGAATGGGAAACATGTATTTTATAATTAAAACAGTAGACCTTACAGTTACTTTACCATTCTATAAACCTAGGAATTGAGTCTTTTCCAAACAGAAAAAAAGCCCTGTTCTTGCTATAGGAAGTTAAGAGGTATAGTAGCTCCTGTATGTTGCCATTTAAGATACTATTACTTACCCTGGGCCTGTTGAACTGATTAGAGCTGTGTTTGTGACAAATAAACAGTGATGTAATGTCTAGATCTCAGTTATGACATTTGCTGTTGGAAGGACCAGAAGAGAAAAACAGTTCTGTGAGTTTAAAAAAAAATGTTGTATTAATGAAATGGCCCAACTTCAAAGGTGAGATCTTGTATTATTGAACATTTTATTTTCAGTGTACTAACGGTACAAACAAAGGCATTATGAAGTAGGGCTAAGAAATGTGGGGATAAACTGAGAAGCAGATGCTGTCTGTGACTGTGAGTCGGTACTATGGGTTAAAACAGACTGATAATTAAATATGTGCTTTACCTCTCTGAGATGAGGTTTTTAATAGCCGCTCATAGCTTCAAAACATTAATAGACATGCATGTTAGAAGATACAGGTTTTCTTTTTAGTGTTTGTTAAAATGAAAACTGGGTGTAATGTTTTGTGTAAAATGTTTGCTCATTAGTAAATCGTATTTAAATATTTCCTTTTTTACCGTGACACCTCAAATAGTCTGAGCTTCGGTTCTATAAATAAGAATAATTTCCCAAATTATCTCTGTGAAATTGATCACAGAAAAAGACACTTTATTAGAAAGGAAAAATAAAAATTCATTGTTTGGGTATCAAAATTATTCTTTTTTTTTTTTTTGCTAAACTGTCTAATTTACCACGCCCCCATAATTTATGGTTCTTACTTTATTTAAATTTTAACTTAAAATATTTATATGATCTTAGGGATAAAATGTAGTGGAGAATATATGTGCTTTCTTGATCCACAGAGGTGACATCATGTCTCAATCTGTATTTCATTTCCATTCATAGATGAGTCATCTGGAGTATATTTGTAAAAACAAGTCTGATACAATGAGAGAGCTTCAACAGACCCAGGAAGACACCTTAAGCAAAGTGGCAGAGCAGATCAAGGCTCAAGAGAGCTGTTGGCACAAACAAAAGAAGGAGCTGGAATTCCAGTATTCTGAACTTCTCCTGGAAGTGCAGAGGAGGGCACAGGTACGCTACCCTACAGAGAACTGGGAGGAGCCAGGTGAATCTTAGTGAAACACTGCTTAAAATTTGCAAAGAATTAATAAAAGTATTTTTAAAAAATAGCTGCTCTGTTTAACCGTTTCCATTCCTTCCCTCCTCTTTTTGGACAGAGTCTAATTATGTTGTTCTGGCTAGCCTGAAACTCAGAGATCAGATCCCCTTACCTCTGCCTCCCAAGTGCTGAGAGGTGTGCACCACCATACTTCAAATGTTTGCTTTTTGTATCAATTCTAAGTCAGTTTAAACCTTTTTGAAGACCTCATAGAACTTGTTTATGTTATGATCATGCAAACACACATTGATCATTATGCTACTTCTTATAGGCAGGGATGATAGTTAACAATATATAGATGACAATATGGAGAAAATACGTTTTTAACTACCTAAACCTTCTGTTCCCAATCAAACCTAGCATAGAAGATAAAATACATCTCACAGTGATTGTACAGTAGGACTTGCAATTATAATTATAATTCTCAGGTAACGTTAGAAGGTATGTTACCTGTTTTGTTTGTTGATGTGACAATAAAATGTCTGTGTCTGTTCTGTGCGTCTGTTTTAAGTGTTGACATTTTACTTGAGTTTGAAGATAATTTTTGTTGTTGTTAAAACTCTTATCTTTTTGGTTAAATGAGGAAATCTTTTATTTATTTTAAAAATAAAGTATTAGAAGGTCTGGTAAAATATTGCCAGTGTAAATATCCTTTTATGCAGCTTATTCCATTTTAGGGGCTTCGATTGAACTTAAGCTCATTTGTGGTTAAAATGTATTATACTGACTTAGGGGTTGAGTTGGGGTTTACTGGGTTTATAGGCTTTGGGGAATTGATAGAGTCCCTTGCAGTCTGACCTAACAGATTAAATATCTGTTGGATATGATGGCATTATTGAAAGGTGGCAAAAAGTAGGAGGTGGAGCCTGGTTGCAGGAAGTAGCTGACTGGGGGTATCCCTAGAAAGACATCTCTTGGCTTCCACTCCTCTCTTCCTGCTTCCTGTCCACCATGAAGTGAACTGCTTCACCTTCCTAGCTTCCTGCTGTGCATCACTGTGTTGTTCATTCGTGACAGAGCCGAAGATCCCAGGCCAGAGGAAATCCTTCCTGCCTTATACTTCCTCAGAGATTTTGTCATAATGGTGAAATTCTCATATCTACTAATATGAGAGGTAGAATTATAGTTGCAAAATAATTTTGAGGAGTAAGCTTTGATTAAGAATAGAAATTTATAGGCCCTATGTGAACTTGGGCATTTCTATGTGGATTTTAATTAATCAGCAATCTTATTTCCTGAAAACAGCCATTTGTTCTTTATATTCAGCTACTAATCCTATATTTTCAAACAAAAATAAAAGATCCGGGTCAGTGGAGGGAGCTCACAAGTGTATAGTTTGATTTTTTTTCTTCTGGGAGACAGAATGTCTTTATGTAGCACAGATTCACAATCCTCCTGCATCAGTCTTCCTAGTGCTGGCGTTATAAGTGTGTCCTCCAAGCACGGCTAATTTGGTGTTTTGGTTAATGTAAGCGCTCATATAATCTTACTCTGTCAAGGCTTCAAACATTTCCATTGTCAGAATGTTCTGTGCCCTCTGCCTGTCATTTTTCACTTTTCATGGGCAGCTATTTTTCTCCTGTGTCTCATTACTGACCAACTGTGCAAAGTTTTGAATTTTGTATAAATGGAACCATTCAGTATTTATTCATTGGGAGTTGGCTTATTTCACTCGATGTTGGCTTATTTCAACTCGGAGTTGTTATTTCACTCGAATATAATATTACATTGTTATGTATCAGTAGTTTATTGTTTTTATGGTTTAATAGTATTCCATTTCATAGCCACATCACAATTTTATTGGAAATGGGTAGATGGGTATTTGGTTTATTTCCAATTTGGGGCTATTATAAATAAATATTATGCAAAAACTATTGTACAAGTGTTTTGTCAACTAATGGTTTTATTTTTCTTGACTACCTTCAGGTCATTCTTAGTTGTACGTTTGTAAGAAACTGTACGGAGGATTTTTTCTGAAATGGTAATTTCACTTTATGTTTTCACAGACATCAACCATTTTTTTTCTGTTTTGGTTCTTTATTTTTGTTATAATAATCTTTCATTACCCCAAGGCAGTGAGGATAATAAGCCCTTATTATTATTTTCTAGAAGTTTTATGGTTTTAGTTTTTATGTCCATATGGTCAGTCATAATTAAAACCTGTGTGATGCCTAGTAAGGGCTCAGGTTCATTCTTCTTCCTACATTTATTGTTCCCATGTAATTTGCTTCACTATTTTCTTCACTGTATAGCCTGAGGAGTTGCTTATACTTGGGACACACGGGGTACAGACATGGTGGTCATTTCTGTAGTCATGCCCTTACCATAGTGCAATGCATTGCAGCAGTAATGTAGGCAGCCATCTGGGTCACACCCTGGCCATGATGCCATGCAATGCAGCAGTGAAGTATGCAGCCATCCAGGTCACACCTTTCACTTAGAAAAACACATCTCTGGTCATCCATGTTTTCTGTGTATCATCAGTCAGTTGCTTTTCATTCTGGGGTACTATTCTATTTTGAGACTATATGGTTGTTTTCTTATCTCTGGATACTTGCTAATGGGCCTTTGGGTTCCTTATTTTTTAACAGTTGTGGTTAAATATTCATGGAAATGTTTTTTATGTGATCACAAGGTTTCATTTCTCCTGTATAAATACATGTGAGTCTGATGTCTGGGTTATATGCTAAGTGTATATTTTAAAAAAATCACATTGTTTTCCAAAGTGGTTATATAATCTTCTTAAATTCTTCTGAGCAGTTTAACAGAGTTTTATTTGACCTACCTCTGTACATGTCATTTCATTATTTTTCCTTTCCAACTTTAGTCATCCTAATTGGTATGACATTTAGTTCTAAATTAAATTAAATCAGGTTTAGTGTTCCCTAGTGAGTAATGAAGTTGAGTACTTATTTAAATGTTTGTCATTTATATATTTTCTTTGGTTTATTATATATTCATATTTTTTGTTATTATTTGTTCATGTGATCCAGGTTTTGCTGTGTAACCATGGTTGACTTTGAACTCATGGCAGTTTTCTTATCTTAGGATTGCAGGCATGTGCTACCACACCAGGCTAATAGATCAGTGAAATTGCTTGAATAGGAACAAGCAATTCCAGCTGCTTTCTCCTCTTTCATCTCTCTTTTCCTTCCTCTCCCATTCCCTCCTTTCCCCTTCTCTTTTCTCTCCTATTCCTATCCCTTTCCATCCCCTCCTTTTTTCTCCCCCCTTCACTCTTTGGTTCTATCTGTCTGTATATCTCTGTTTCTGTCTCCTCCCTCGTGTGTGTGTGTGTGTGTGTGTGTGTGTGTGTGTGTGTGTTTCCTGAATCCAGGAACTTGTAAATGGTAGGAAGCACTTTTACTACCAAGCTATATCCCTGGCCCAGTGCATGTACCCAGCCCTGGTCTCATCCCCAGCTCTGGTCGCATCTCCAGCCTGGTCACATCCCCAGACCTGGTCACCTCTCCAGCCCTGTGCAGTATTTGTCTGGTGTTTGTTTATTTGTTTGTTTTCAAGACAGGTCTCTATGTAACTCTGGCTGTCCTGGAACTCAGTCTGTAGACCAGGCTAGCCTCAAACTCACAGAGATCCTCCTAAATGCTAGGATTAAAGGCACATGCTATTTACTCTTTACTTACTTATTTTATACTGCAACAAGGTTTTCTTCCAGACCAGCCTTGAACTTAACTATGTATCCTAGGCTGACCCTAAACTCAAGGCAACCCTGTTGTCTCAGCCTTCCAAGAGCTGAGATCTTGAGTCACATACTTGGCTTGGGTTCTTTTCTTAGTATGAACTTTTCAGGTTTTGAACATGTTTTAAACTTGTCATTTGTCAGATACATTATTTAAAGATATTTCCTCCTGTCCCATTAGCAGCACCTAATTTATAGAATAAGCATTTTACTTTTTTTCTCATAGTTAGATATTGAACATCCCAGCCAAGTGCTATTCTACCAGTTGAGCTATACCCCAGCAGCATTTGTGTTTAATGAAGTTCATATTTTCATTTTTTGTCTTATAGATTGTTTTTGGTGTTAAGAATTAGCATTCTCAAAGTGCATGATGAGGATTTTCTCTTAGTTTTTCCTTATAAAACTTAGAAGATAAGTTTTATAAGTAGGTCTATGTAAAATTTGAGGTAATTTTTGTAGAGGTGTGAGGTATGGGTTGAGGTTGGATTTTTTGCATATATTTGTTCAGTTGAAAAGATAATCCTTTCTCCCTGCTCCCTTCTTTCTTGAGACAGGGCTCACAATGAGCCACCTGGAATTCCCTATGAAGATCAGACTGGCTTGAACTCCAGAAATCCTCTTGCTTCTGCCTCCCAAGTACTGCAACTGAAGTTGGGCCACCTTATGTAGCCAATAAAGACAACACTTTCTATATTGAATTGCTTTTGTACCTTTTCAAAGTCTCAGATTGCTATATTTATATATTCTGTACTTTATTACACTCACTTCCTGTTTTCAGTGCTACATTAATTTAATTCCAATAGCTAGCAGTTTTTGAAATTCACTTACTTTATTTATGGACTTGTTTAATTATTTGGTTTTTATAAATGAGTTGTTAATAAATAAATAAATAATACTGTAACTTTGGTTGCTTTTATTTGAAAACAGTGATAGTGATTTATAAATACTGTTAGATAAATAAAACCTGTAGAGCTGGTTTCAAAAATAAAACCAGTTTTGATATCCCAGCATATTTTTAGTTTTAGGTGATTCATGCTAGCTGAGTGGAAGGAGAATTCTTGATTTGAAATATATTTGAAATACACCACAATACATCTTGTGTCTGTTTTGCTGAATAATCTGGGTAAAGTAAGTGCATACTCCATTCCATGGACTAACTTTACTTTGCAATCTTAGTATTTATGTTCTTTTTTCCTTTTTATCTGAAAATAA